TTTTTACGGCACGCCTCATCACGAGGACAAAGAAATGACCTGTGTCCTGTACGCACACACACACCGACACATACACCGCCACACACATACACGCGTATTGAACGTGGCCTAAACGCCTCTGTTGAGCTGGAAAATATGCCCTTTTGTGGCCAGCTAACAACAGCAGGAGGCACAGTTGGAGCTCGCACAAGTGTTTTTTTCGGCATTTTGCTTTATATTCGCAGTACACCGCAAAACCCCTTGCCATTCTATCAGCACTTGTGTGTGCGTGTGTGTGTGTGTGTGTGTGTGTGTGTGTGTGTGCTTCAACGCACTCAACCGCACAAAAGCCAGCGCGTCACAAGTCTTTGCTTTAGGCCAAGTTTTTGTGCCCTAATGATTATTGGGCTCATTTTTTTCTTCCCTTTTTTTCGGCCATTGTTTGTGTCGGCTAGTTGGAATGCTGAAAATGTTGCCATTGTTTGTTTTTCTTTCCTTTTTTTTTTTTGTTCGATTTTGCAATGGGCGTGAAATCATTTAAGACATCAGTACGCAGTCCGCTGACAGAGTTAACTGACCCAGCGGAGCCTGCTGTGTGCGGCTGATAAGCTGCATTTAGGTTTATTTAACTGTTTTGCTAATTTTACACGTTTTATGGGCATAGCCAGGATTGTTTGGTATGAATTCTAACTTATTTGAGGGATCCGCCAACGCCTTACTTTCCCTGATTTCGGGAAGACTATGCAACTCGCCCTTACTCTTGGTTATTCACTACTTTTTTGTGATCCTTTTCCTTTCACTTTCCTCCAACTTTTTTCTCTTTTCTCACATTTCTGCTGCTCTCTCTCTCAGTCAATCCTGTTATTTTTTATACCTTCATTTCGTTTTCATCTTTCATATGAATTGAAGATAGTCACAGACAAAGGCCTCTTACTTGTGTTACCCTTTCATCGTTTTAACATTGCTGTTCTCTGCGGTTCTCATAATTTCAAACTCGTTCATTTTTGGATATTCATATTTGAAATTCCCAAACGAATGCTCCCATTGTACCTGGTAAAGTAACTGTCAATTTATGGTATTTAAAAGCAATTTATTACTGTATATACTGACAATTTGTGGTTCTATCGCAATTATTGCTGTTTTTCTTGAACGTATAAACATATTTATTATTATTGATTAGTTGTCATCGGCTATTTTATGGTTTAATTGATGGGATCGACTTCATGGTGCAATTTTGTGCCGTTTCACTACCTTTGTCTGACTAGTTCGTATAGATGTTCGTTTTGAAGCCAATTTTGACTTTGATAGTGTGCTGCAATACTCTTTGCATTCCTCTGAGCTGTAGCCTGGTTGACAAGATTGTGTCATCTTGCATTGGCCCTCATGCCACACCCAAACTGGACGTAATGGCTGGCACAACAGGCGATCCTTATCTCTTAACTGGCACATAGCAGGAGTCGTCGAATTCTGCTGGGTCTCCTGCAGCAAAACCAAACCCAAAAAGGCATAAACTACCCAACCTTTTCTCATGATACAAACTGTCTATGAGGTACTAAATATGTTTTGTTTGCCTCTTGATATTGTATTACGTCTCGAGCCAAATCAACCGATTCTAAAAGCGTGTAATTAAATTTATTACGGTTACAGTATAGATATTATTTATTTTGATTAGTTTTAGACAAATGCTCTTTTTCCATTTGACAACTTCAGTTATGGGAATTGCAGAGAAGGGTATTGGTAATCCTTTCACTTGTGCATACTCCCCACCTTCCTTCCATCTTTCTCCGTTTCTCGACTTGGCCTCCTTATTCTACCTCTTTTCTCTCCCTTAGTTATGTGAATTGCATAGATAGGCATGTGCAAACGCCCCACCCTATTCTTCCTTTGGCAACTTTCTGCTCTTCTTTTCTCTCCCACTTTTTAATTAAGTTTGGAGAATTGCATAGAAAGCCATTGTTATGTCTTTCACTTGTGCATACTCTCCACCCTTTTAATGTCATTCTTCTATGCGATTCTCAAAAAATTAGTAGCTGTAGTTGCAAGTATGTTTGCACGGTTTCATACATCTGATATTAAAATTCCATTTATTACTGTATTTATTGTCAATTTATCGTTTTATCTGCATGGCTTCTGTGGTGCGCGGTCTCCTTGTTCTTATACTGCTACCGCCTTGACTATTGATAGCTGTCTGTGCTGACACAGTTGTGGCCTTTGTGGAACAGTGTTTTTTGCACTCCTCTTCTGTGTAGCCCTTAGTGCACGTGAGCCCCATTACGCATTTGCCATTGCGCATTACCCAAACTGATCCCAAAGGTTCGCATAATGAGCGTGCGTACGGAAAGATTTTTATGTTCAGATTGCAACGGTCTACATTTTTCTCTATTCTGGACAATTTCGTTAAATATATTTTTATCTTAGTACATTTTACTTACTAACCTCGCCTCAAAGCAACCAGCTGCAGCAAAGCAAAGCCCGTGAGCGCACATAAAATCCAGCGCGATCTCATCGTATAAAGCATCTTGAATACATTAAAAACTGAATTACAACGTTTTTAACTCTTAAAGTTTCAGCCAGCTGTTTCTGAGAGCGTGAAATTGCTTTGTTCAGGATATTTATATAATGCCGTATTTCCAAAGACTATATCAAGAAAATCTGCAAATTTGTAGCGTCGGACTCTTTATTAATGATTTCTCCAGAACAACAGCGGAAAGTCATTTAGTTCTGTTTCCTTGCAGTTGATTCCGACAATTTGCGACGCAAATAAAAGTCAAGTACAACCTTAAGAAGCATTTAAAGCTGCGCTACTGATCATTTAAGTTCGCCCCACTTAGATATCTATTAAGACTTAATTTATTACACTTTGCGCACTTGAATCGCTTAGCTCTGGCACCGAAATGTGCAGAGTGAAAAGCTCTGGGAAATTATAAAGCTATTAAAGACGGACAGAGTTTGCCTAATTAACAAAATGTGCAGAGTGTCTCAGGCTTTCAGCTAGCTAATGAAGATATCAAGTGTTCGGTTTTTAAAATACCCTGTATTTAATATACTTGAGTAGCTCTTTGATAAAAACATTAAGCCTGTGAAAGCTTCTTCACGTAAATAGCAAAGCTTTCAAAAGCTCATTAAAGCAAAGCTCTTTAAGCTGACAAGCTCTTAAAGCTAAATTACATTAAAGTTCAAAGCAAGAATAAAAGTATACAATTAGAGTACATAAAGCTTTAATAAGCTTTAGATAAATAGCGGTAAATGTGCTTTTTATTTGTATTTAAAATATATAGAATTTTATAATCAAAGTAAAAAGTTTTAGCTGAGGCTTAAATTCTTATACTCTTTGCAGGGCATCTCATTTGCGGTTTACCCAGTTGAAATGCAATTTCAAATTGTTGTATTGACTTTCTCCTCTTGCCCTTTCCTTTGACTTTCCCTCTCCCTCGCTCTGTTTTACTGACCGTCTGGGACGCGATTGGTAATTAAGTTTAGGACCGCTGCCGCGACGATGTCTTAAGTAAATTTATGTAAATTTCGATTAATTTATTTTTTGACACAAATTCCCCATCCATCTATTCGATTATGGGCTGCCTCATTAAGTGCTGAGAGTCTTGTCGTTAGGCAAAATAATTGCTATCTAATTGCACGGATGCTTCTTGTTTGTTGGTGATGACAAGCGAATCGCTCGCATTTGGAATGTATTTAATGCCTGATTGCAACCTGATCAATCAATGCCAAACATTTTCATTCTTCAGCATTTATTTGTGGCTCTTTGCTCAATTGATTTTCTTGCCAGCTGCTATGTGGCTAACTAAATGAACTGTGTGTGCGACGGCTTAAATGACAAACAGGTATTGCATTGTGGCTTTCGGCAAGAATTTCCGCCCATTTCCGTTTTGGCTTTTTTCTGTCTTTTGGTTTTATTTTTTTTTTAAAGAATATCGTTTTAAAGACGCCAAAACTGCTCTCAAATGCTCTTCATATTTCAATTTCCGGTCCGCAATACAGAACATGTAAGCAGCTGTCCAACAATGCCCTAAATCTGCGGCTATCTCATCTCTCTAGTTCACTCTATTTTTCTCTTTATATATCTCTGTCTTGTTGTGTGGCGCTTAAATTTGATTGATGCTGCCGGAAGTTGATTTTGCTTTGCAGTTGCTCCATGTGTGCCCTGGGGGCACATGTCATTTTGATTTGCTTTCCCATACCCTGTACTCAAAAACCAATGCTAAGAAGGCTGTATAAAACTTCTCAATGATACAGTAGCAGCGACCAACTATCGATTAAAGCAGCTGCGGTCGATTGGTTATCGATAACAAGTCGATATCAATTCAGATCAATTTTCTTTATATATTTTATACTTAATTACTTTAATATGTCAATACATAGTTGAATATTATTAGAAGTATCAATAGCATGCATTGTGATACATTGCGATTGTAACTACCATCGATAATTTGTAGCACATAAAAACGAGCATAAATTGTAGGGTATATTTCAGTTGAGCACTTCATGCGTGAGCGTTCCCAGTTGTTCGATTTGTATTCATGTTTGACTTTTGGCTTTTTGCATGCACATTTTATATGTATGTTTGTAGTGTAATGACATTGAATGAGAGCAGCTCCCAAAATCACAGCACGCACACACAATTACACACTCACACTCTAGCACACACACACACACACACACACAGTCGCATGCATAGTGCTTAAATCAAAATGCTTTACGTTCTCAATTCTGTTGCATAATTCATGCTGCTTCCATATCAAATGCAACAACAAATGCAACGCAACAACAATAACAATAACAATAAGCAAAACGCTTTGTTCCTATGACTGAAATGCAAAATTATGCGCTAAAACAACAGCAACAACATCAACAATAGCAGCAACAACAACTATAAATAACGCGCGCTAAAAACCAACATTTGAAAATTGCAAATTTTTGATTGCGACTACAAAAAAAAAAAACAGAAAAAAACTCGTTTGGCCTGCTTCGCTGCACAACATCCTGCTACAACAACCCGACCCCAATTCTTCAACTCAACCACGCCCACAGCCCGCCCCGTTAAAAAACGCCCCGCAGAATGTCAATGTTCTTCTTTCGCTTGCATAATCTCCAGCGCGCCGAGGAGAACAAACGCAAGAAGCGCGCCGAACAGCAACGTCAACAGCAGCGCCAACGGCGCGGCGCCAAGGTCTTCAAATGTGTCAGCGATTCCACTGGCCACCTGACCCTGGCGCCCTCGCGCCTCTTCGAGCGGACGCCAATGAGTCCATCCGACAGTCTGGACGAGATTGCGCTACAGATACCAAGGTGAGTTAACATTGGGTGTGCAGCGCCTCAGGCTGTGTATTTGTGTGTGTGAGTATTATGAGTACAACACACACACACACAGACTGTGCTACACACAACCAGCTCAGTTACTTGTGTGCAATTGAAGAACATTTTGCCCCGTGCGACCTGTGATTGTTTTGCTTTACCTGCGCTCCGAGGCAACCAGCCAGCCAGGCAGGCACACAGTGACTCGCAATCGTATACAACCAAACATCGTTTGTGCTTTGGCTTATATAACATAATAATAAGTATATAACTTAACCATTATTCTATTGTGTGATATACTTGAAAATCTGTGAACCTGATTTGTTACAAAATATACGTAGAAAGCTTTCGAAGAGCATACCTAAAACCTAAATACCCTAACCATTAAGATATTCTTAAAAGGGTGTGACAAAGAAGACAGTACAGATTTTAGTCCAGAACAAGAAATTGCCTGCGATTTCTAGAGATTTACTTTTTGCTGATTCCAAGGAAAGCATTTATTTAATTAAAGCATCGATCAATTGAGAAGCCAAATATGTTTGTCTCTTATTTAAATTGAACTTCATCATAAAACACAATTTATTAGTCAATTCAATAAAACATTAATTGCTTAAAATTTGAAATGATTGGCATCTTTATGGTGAAATAGCTTTCGGAATGATTATACTCTCTATTTTTCTAGAGAATTCGGTAAAATACAAATTTATTAAATGAGTCAAATTAAAAGTGTTAAAATAATTAACAATACTCAGTAAATCAATCAACTATTCATTTCATTAATTAATTTTATTTAATACAACTTTTAGAAGTTAAGCCTATAGAATGGAAATTGAATTGGAATGCGATTGGAAGAAATTTCTGTTTCATATCCGATGCAATAGAAGAAATATATAACCCTGGCCCATAAATATGATAATAATTGTTCAGAGCTATTCATTTCTAGTAGTCAAGTTCCTTGTTATATTATAATCCAAACCAGGCACAGCTCGCAGCTAAATGTCAGCTTTTGTAGATAATATAAAGCGACGCAACGCTTCGCGTTCAATTTCTACGTTCACAGGCAGAACTAATAAATTCAAAGCGCAAACAACTAAAAAATCGTTTTAATTCGCTTACTTTAATTTATCGCTGATGGAATTTTCCTAAAAATTACCTTCGTCATCTACAAATTTATTATTAACGCGCCATTTAATTAATAAATATATTAAGACCAAAAATGGTGAAATGAAAAAGGAAAAGTGAATGGGATTACTTTGTTAAGGGTTTGAAAATGTTGTGTTGTAAAATAAATACAAATAGAAAAAAAAAAGGAAAAGAAATAAAAAGAACTTTATGTTCTAAACAAATCGAGTTCAGCTTGCGGAAAGATAATTAATATGAATACCAGTGCTAACAATGCTGAAAAATAATGAACGGTGTCTTCACAATCTTTTGCAACACTATTCACTTTAAAAATCTTGGAAATCTCCACATGTTTCTCTAAATAGTGATGAGTGATTTATTTTGACACACTTTCTAGGAGCAATCTTAAGCCGGATTTGCCAAACTTTTATGGGAGTCGCAGCACAAAGGGCCACTCAGTTCTTGTCTGTTGAACATTTGAACTGTTCAAAACGGGCCCACGCCCATTCATGCGAAATTTTGAGGAAAAAATAATAGCAAAAGCAAAAATTTCTTTATAAATGTAATTTATTGATTAATTGAATTTAGTTTGCCTTACAATAAATAACATTATATCAATTATTTGAAAAGAATAAAACTCTTGTCAACTGAATGTTAGAGTATGCGCAGCATCGACTTGTCACATTAATATTTTATTGTCTGCCTAATTTTGGGCTCCGTCAAATGATGCCCTTATAATATGTTGCCCAAAGCAGTTGGCCCTCATGTAAGTGTGTGGCAAGAACAGACGCAATTTGTGACATTTTGACGTGCCACAATTCTGAAATGAAATTATAATGCGACCCAAAAAAAAAAAAAAAAAAAAAAACAGTGGCTGACGGCATCAGTTGGATATACTTAACTGCGTTGAGGGCCCTTTCCAAAAAAGGCCAGAATTTGGGATTTAAGGCTTAAACGAACTTTTTGGGTCGATCTCTTTGGTGGCAAGCGAATTGCGAATTGCGTCAATTGGCGAACACTCGGCCAAAGTCGTCTTTGATGGCTAATGAATTATTTGAAAGAATTTAAAGAGCTCTAAGTAGGCCCTTGCTTTTTGGCTTACACATTTGAGCATTGGAGGAACTGTATTAAAAATATATTCAGTTTGCTCTAATCAGCTAAACGTATCAAATCTTTCGTTTAAATTTCTTCAAAATTATCAGATTGAATTAGACACTGTTCGGGACCATTTTTATATAAATTTTCCAATTCCAAGATGTTTATGTGGTGTGAGCGCATCTCAGCAGCTATGGCCGGAGTTGTGGTGGGCCTTTGGTACGCCCACACCTTCCCGTCTGAGGATTGCGACAAGCCAAAGGACAACAAGAAGAAATAATACAATGTCGCTAGTCAAGGCTGACGTCACGATAGTTCCACAAAATGAATACCATTCACTTAGTTATATCGCAATGGGTATATTTTTTATACCCGGAACCAATTACAATTGGTTAAAAGGTAATATAGGTTTTGAGCGAACGCAGTTAGCATGTCCGATTGAATAAAGTTAATGTATTGAAGCGATCAAGCGATCTGTCCGTCCTTCCATGTCCCTAAAGATTCTCAATTTCGAAGAACGAGCATGTAACTTTCTATAATATTGATAATTATCGCTTTTAATTATAGCTCCAAGTATTGAGTTTGCTTTCAAATCTCAAAAATTATATTAGCTAGATAGGTTATTAAGAAATCTCTCAAAGATTAAAGTGCAGCTAAGCCTAAGACTTGATTAAGCGGTCGTTAAATGAAGGGCCATCAGCAAAAATATCAAATTGGATGATAAAAAAAATAATGGCTTGTTCATCCAACACATTAGCCGGGCAAGATACGTCAACCGATGGAAATATACTATCCGAAATCAAGTGAAAAATTCAGTCTCACTCTGACAGTCAAAACATAAACACTATCAAGAATATTACTAAATATGAAAGAGATGCGCCGATCCTGTAGACCACAACCATCGCTGATCTCGCGACTGAATTGCAAACCATGTAATCGGGTTCTGTTCTTCATCGCCGGCGTTGGAAGTGGTGTATACTACATCCGGCATAAGGAGCAGATAGCCGAAGAGCTCAGGAATGTCGAACAGGGCAGCACGAAGAAGGATAAGGGCAAGTAATGTTTGGAATGGATTTCTAATGGGGACACTCTAATTGCAACACAAATCAAACTCAGATACTTTACACCGAATGAATTGAATGACGATCTAATACAGCTGAAGATAGTGCAAGTCGTAACAAGGATGATGTAACGTCTGCCTAACTCTAGCCCTATTGTACGACCTTCAAGGCGCCATATAGCATAGCACTTGGAATGAAATCCCCAGACATTAACAATCGCGGACCCGACCAGGCAAATCACAGGACATGAATATTCATTTCAAATTAGTAGTAAATATTGGGCTTTGGAATAGAAATTGAATTTCAAATGTAAAATCAAGCCTAAAATTAATTTAATATATAATGTGTACAATTATACAAACCTATTGAAATAAAAGAATCTATAAAAAATATTTCTTTGTATTAATTTGATATTTCTATTTTTATTTTTTGAACTGTGAATTTTACAATATTGTAACGGCTAATTTTGGGCCACACAATTTTAAAGAGTCTTCTACACCTAATTTTCTAGTTTCTTGTGTCTCCATTTTCTGTAATTAGAATTTAGGGTTTAGAACAACAATTTAACGGGTTTCGTTGCTCCGTATTAGTAATTTCTGCTATTTAGCTTAGATGGTCTAGGTTAGGTTCGCTTTGTTACTTCTGTTCTTTCTTCTTTTCCTGTTCCTTTGCTCGTTTTTCCTGTTCCTTCTTGTCCTTTTCTTGCTGCTCCTTTGACTTCTTTTCCTGCTCTTTCCTCTCTTTTTCTCTCTGCTCCTTCTCCTGTTTCTCTTTCTTCTCTCTTTCCTTACGCTCCTTCTCTTTTTGTTTGGGGTCTTTCTTCGCTTCCTCTCTTGCCTTTCTGGCCTCTTCCTTCAACGTGTTAAACCAGATACCGATGCCAGCCCCAACAATAAAGAAGAAAAGTCTATTGCAGGCCGTACAGTTAAGCCTCGTGAAGAGCGACGGTGGAGGGCGACAAGTCGGACGTGGGGATGGCGGTGGTCTGCATGATGGATTGGGGCAACCCGAGGATCCAGATCCCGATCCACACTCTTTGTTAGACATTTGTAGGCCGGTTCCAAGTTAAATGAAAATTTTGTATAAAAAAAAAAAAAACTATAGAAATGAAAAGAACAGGGGAAATTTTGAACAGTATAACGAAATTTTGTGTGTATGACTGCCAGAAAATAATTATGTCGACTGAGCCTGACACAAATCTCTCGTCGAAAACTAGCCTTAGGGATCACAGTTGGCTAATTCTCAAACATCATCATTTTTCGATTTGGCCTAGTGAAGGGCTTTTCTTGTTTGCTGACAACTTGAATACTTTATGAAATTAATATCAGCGGAGATTTCCGGCTTTGTTCGGGCAATGTATTTTTTAAATGTCCACTTTATCCGGGCGAATTTTTCAAAATATTTGAAACATTTTACATAAATTTTTTTATGGAGCTTTGATTGAGTATTTAACTATCGTCCATATAATCTTTGACCATGGGTCTTTGATTTTTGAAAGTTGCTTTTAAATCGATCAAGTAATAAATAAAATAGTATGGTTTATGTATAAGACTAGTTTTTCTGGGTACATTTTTTAAAAACCATAAAAAATAATAAATAGATAAAAAAAAACTACGATTTGTCTAATTTAATATGCGACTGAATTGCATTTGAGTTTTTATTTTTTATTCAAAGCTCGGCAATGGCTTTAATAACGATTCAAGGGGAATTGTAACTTTTGCATGTAGAAACTGAAGCCCACATTTTTCACCCACTTAACGTACTACTAAGAAGGCGTCAAACACATCAACATTGATTTTTTGATTTTGAAAAATCAGTTTTAAAGGCAATCGTGTAAAAAGTTTAACATATTTTCACCAATATTCCACTATTGCGGGCGAAATTGCGCAAAAATTGCCATCCTATTATTCACATGAATTATCTGTAAAAATATAGCTTCTAGATGTTGTGGCGAAGGCAGACAGACAATTATTATATAGTTATAAGGCTACCTCTATGCCAAACTATATTGTTTTTCTATTACCCAATAACAAGATAAGCATAAAAGTGACCTCAGTTAATTTGCTGCCACATTCGTAACTTGTTCGAAACCCACTCTTCAAATTCTTTACTGTTCAAGCATGCCTAAAGTTTTATTTCAGTTTAAAAAAGGCTTTCGAGTCTAAAGCATCATATCAAAAAATTTATTTTCTAAAAGTGGTTTAGGTTATTTGATTCTCTTTTTTTTATATTTTGCGTTTTGTTTGAAATTTTTTAAAATGGATTTGGATTGGTTAATTACCTTCGTGTTGGGTTGCGTTCTTGGCTTTGTCGTTGGATTACATTCTTAGGTGTAATCGAAAGAAGTCAAATAATTTTGAGGTATAGTAGATTTTTCCGAACTAGTAGACTTTGCTTTCTAAGCATATCTAATATATCGGAACATTCTATTATTTCAAAGGAAGACAACGTTACGGCACGCTACATTTGTTGTGCATTTTCTTATCCAAAAAGTGATGAAACTGTATTTTAAGTAAGTGCCCAAATAATTGTATGAATCAATATTAAGTATACGTTCTCTATATAGCATACACTAGCCGAATAGTCCAAGAAGTACAGTCATGAGTCACGTTATATCATTTGCACTCGGCATGATAACAGGTTTGATGTTGTGTAAGCAGCGACGTTGCGGTCCTGATAACTGATGGCAACCCAATCAAAATTATACATGAAAATCTTAATTAAAATTAATATGCGAAATTTTCGTGCGGAGCACATGTACAAATTACAATAAAATTGAATTAGGGATATGTAAGAAACTTAAATGGATAACTTTTCTGTGATATACTCAATGTAAATTGGACCAGATTTGCATTCAACTCTCTTGTGGAGGTTAATTTGCAACGCATAGTTTTAAGTCTTATGTCCACAAGCATATTTAATCCTCGGCTTGCCGTAGATAGCCTTTCCATTCTATTTTCTTTTCTCTGTAAGCCAAGAGTCGATATCTATATCACTTGTCAGCCATAAAAACATATTTTGGCATTCCTCATACAATTAATGATAAACCTAAAAACCGGTTAAATTAAGGTTTTTTTTAGTCTGGAATATATTTTTTGGCATCTAATGAATCTCTAATGAATGCCATATCGAAAATGTCATCCATTCAATTTGCAATATTCTGCCCTGCAATCGACGATCAGTACCTATTGCGCTCTACTAAGCCAAATACTACGAAAGCAGGGCGTAGTTACAATGTATTGTAGTTTGTATGGTATTTACAATGAGGGTTATTTACAGTCAAATACTTTAGGGGATCAAGTGAGTTGTCTCCCAATGAATGCCGCAGGAGGCACTTCATACCTCACAATGTGTCTCCTGTGAGAAAAACCCTTACTTTAACAAATTGCAGTTAGTTTATTTCGTGGCGAATAAATGGAACTTCATTTCAGATTTCGAAATTTAATAATCCTTTTCGATCACGGGTTACATCTGCGACACAACGCCAGGCCAAGAAATACGCCTGCGCCAAATGATAGCAGATGTGTCATTTTGTCAAATGCGGAGTAGATGTTATAATTGTTGAAATATTAATATGAAGGTTCCGATGCGGCCACAGATTTGATTTGCTTGATTTTATATTCCCCCGTTGAACTAGTGCAATGATTCTTAAATATGCGCTAGAAAGAAGTCCATGCTTATTTTGATGTTGAAAAGTTAAAAACCGAAACGTAGAAATTAAACGTTAAGGCGGTCTGGCATCCAAAGTTATGTCAATTGAGCAGCAAAAAGAACTCCTTTGAAGGCAGCTGGGGCTTACTGTGGGCGCATATTACAAGTTTATTAGAGATAAAATGAAAGTATTTTTTTGTGCTTTGCACTCACGCGGTGTTTCGCAATAAGGTAGCCGCAAATGCCTCCAATAATGAACGTCAGAAATCGCTGCATTATTATGATACAAAAAAAAAAGAACGTTTAGAAAATACGGAAAAAAATTTGGAGATCCACTTAAACTTGGTTGGGGGGAAGTGTTGAGTTTGGATTATGGAAACAAAAGTACAGCATTGACGCCTAAGGCAAAAGCCTGCTACGAAACTAAAGCATTTGATCTGGTAAGTGCTCAACTAGCCCATATCCTGTACTCAAGGAGTGGACTATTGAATTCCAAGAAATATAAACTTTAATACATGGTTTAGTATGCGCAGTTCCCAGTAGACACAGCTGATGCCAACCGTTATCAACAAGTTTGGTAGGCAACTTGTTTTGTATTCCCTGAAATAAATCGATTATTTGGACCTCAATCTATTCGTGGAAACAGGCCAATAAAATATGTGCAAGTGCTGCAAAAGTTTTTAACTGGAATTTCCCGAGAGAGGCAGCTGGCAAAAACTTTGCGCCGATTTTCATTTATTGTCCTCGGGTGTGAGGGCATCTAGGCGGACGGTGTTTTTCAATTTTTGGCCATCTTTAAGGTTATGGCTAAGTCAATTAACCTTTGCATAATTCTACAAAATACATGTGGGCTCTGCAACACGACGAGTGTGTGTTAATTAGTACGAAAAGTTTGTTGTGGCTTGAATTAAATTATTGTAAAATGGCTCGCACACGCACACTCATATGCTTACCTTTCATTATGATTGATTATCGGGGCTGCGGAAAATGATATGATACCGCCCACGGGGCCGTTTAACAAATGAGCTCAGGCGTGGCCTGCCTCAAATCGAAATGAGCTAGTTTGTGGGGCAGCTGTCAGCACTACCGCATTTTAATCAGCAGGTTTTTGGGGCTTATTCACACACACACACATACACACACACACACACACATCCCCATAAATATTTCATGATTTTTGCCTTGAGAGATGCTCGAGTGGGTTTTGGCATAACTTAGATAGGGCTTTATCTGAACACAAACAAAAGACAAACACACCCCAACATACATAACATTTATTCAAAAGCCTGCTGGTTGGGTAATTGAATGTGCTCGTAGTTTTGCGGCCCGGACTCAGGTTAAAGGATAAGCGCCTGTGAGATTGCCTACAAAACGAAATGATGGCTGCCAGGCCAAATGATTGATGGCATTGTCAAGCCGAGCCAAAGGCTAAACTGTTTGGCCCTGCTCTCAGCTCGGTTTCCTTAATATACACACATTTATAAAGCCCCGACGACAACAGGTATTGCACTTCTGTGTGAGTCTGGCGGTGGTTCTACTCTCTAACCACAAATTGAAACCTTATTGATTAGGGCCATCTTTTTATAATCCCTATGCCCTGGCATGCTTACAAAGCACAAAATAAACTTGTGCAGCTTGCAAAATGAGTTCATTTGGAACACACAACTTATAGTTTTCTGCTACGCATCAAATCTTTGTCTTTTCTTCTGCCCCATTCAACCTGAAAACTAAAAGGGCGAAAAATTCAATTGTTCACTCCTGTTTGATATTTACGAGTATGTATTTTCCATTAGGCTGAATTTTACAGGGATTTGTTAACAAATACCGGACGTTTTAATATTTCTGCAATTTATAAAACAATTAGTTTTTACATCATTAAGATTATTTTAATACCTCTTTTAGCTTTTCATATGATTTTCTACTTTAGATTTATAATTGCTTTATCAATATATAATTTTTTTTTTATTTAAATAAAGCTCAATAAAATATTATTATATTTATTTATATTTTCACATTCTCTCGAGAATAAATTGGGATGACGACTTAACAATTATTTATTGCTTTTCTTATAAAATCTCATTAATAAATCTAACTAATAATTATTGTATTTTGTAATTATTTGATTAATACTATTTTATTTCTTTTATTATTATTATTACTATTACTATTTCTGGTAATTTATCGTTGGGTGAAAAAAAATGTTAATGATTTAAATATTTATTTTTTCTGGCTAACAGCTACAGAAATTAAAGATAGGGTTATCTTTTATATAAAAATCAAAGATCAGTGAATAAACCACACACTTTTAGCTTTGTGTTTGTGAAATCAGAAATAATACTTAGTTTAATGTAAATAATTGTTAAAATACCTGCATAGGACTTTTATTGGTTTTCCTCTGACGAACTGCATCCATTTTGAAATTCTGCTGTCAGCGACAATTCAACCTATTTGCCAAGCTTTCGGCTAACAGCAGCCTTTCTCTTACGATGTTAACTGCCGCTCTTAGTTGATGAGCTTTCGCTGAGCTCAATTTAACTCGCTCTTTCTCTCTTATGCGCTTTTCTCTACCTCTCTCAATTCTTCGCTCTCTCTTAGCGCCCAATATAAACAAATGGCTTGCCGGCTTTTGGCGCCAATTGGCCGAGCAGCTGTTTTTTAGCCCACCACACGGCGGAGGCCTGTGTGGTGAGTTCTGGCCTCATCGTGGCCAACTCCATCATGGGCCAAGTTCGTTTCGCCTCAGTCGTTATTCCTGTGCCGACGCGTACGAAAGCAATTGCGAAGTCCTGAACCTCGTCAATTTTGTTACCCAAAAGCAAACCAGCGCGCATCTTAAAACATTTGATCAAAGTCGAAGCGAATCGCGCGCGATAGTAGTTGTCCATTTCTGGCTGTGTATTTGTGTCTGAGTGTGCGTACGTGTGTATGCGTGTGTGTCTGTGAGCGCGTTTTACGGTTGTGACAGGTATTCAAAGGTGCCCAATGCGAATTACAATTTTCAAAAATAACCACAATGTTGGAAAATTAATTTTATTTCTGGGCATAATAAATAAATAACATGCAAATGAAATCGACAACTTGATAATACTTGATTGATGTAAATAATTGCAAAAATTATTGAAATTTTGGATGTAATGAAAAGTTAATAAATAAATAAAAGTTAATAGTATATCCAGCTAAATTAAATAAATAAACCACCCTTTTTATTGGGTAAAATAAAATTAAATAAAAAATATATTCAGATACATGTATTTTATTATATAAAGAGCACAAACACAACACAATAGAATATTTTTCAATGCAACATAAACAAACAAATAGATAAAGAAAGTTTAAATAAATATTTATTAAGTAATATCATAAATAAAATCATTATTAAATTGAAAAAATTCGCTCTCATCATTACTAAAAATGTAATGCAATAAGTATAAATGTTTTCTTATTGAAGAACATTAAAGTGTTAATGAAATCCATTTTTTTTTTTTGCAATTTAAACTAATATTTAAAAAGTAATTCGTAATTCACATAAATACAAGTTTAAAAAAATCATTCATGCAAATCAAGTCCCATTTTAAATATGAAAGAAGAAAACGTAAACTTCAATGCAAATATCTTCAAAAAAATATTTATATTAAGCAATAGAACAACACAAAAGTAAATCAAAGAAAATTATTTAAATTATATATAAATATATTTATTTTATATTAAAATAATAACCAGCCCTATTCTAAGGGGATATTCGATTGAAAAGCTATATCTATAAAAATTAAAAATACATTTTCATGATTAAAAGTCTTTACAGATACATGACAATATTAATCTTACTTAAAATCTGAAACAGTTACGAAAACTGTTAACAAAAGAAACTTTGCTTTAAGCACTCGGGCACCTTGGCGAATTGAATATTAAGTTAGTTTGCTGGCTGGTTGTTTCAGTTACAGTTTAAGCCTTTTCTTAACTGGCTGTCATGTTGAGCGAAGTGTCGAGTTCACTGATAAATTGACTTTGGGTGGAATTAAAAGTTCAAAACTTATCCAAAACTTTTGCAAGTCAACAGTGTTAAGGCAACTGTCGACACGTGTCACACGCTGTATGACAACTAATAACCCAATATATATATATGCATGCAAATGTGTGTATAGCATATATATCTGAAATATGAATAGCAAAGCCAATGCTACAAAATGTTGCTTGATTTTGGCTTAAAGCCCAAAACAGCAATGATTAAATGCAAAAGAAACAGCAAAAGCAGCCGAAAATTGAAAGGAAAGACGGCAAATTGAATTCTATTGAAGGAAAAAATTAACTAAAGCTGGGGTAGGGCCAGGAACGTGGTCGAGCTAACCGAAGGCGAACCGCGGTCCAAGCCAATGTCTGCGGGCCATATAATTGAGTTATTTAACTTGGATTCAGTCATTTTATTATTATTAAATGGCTGCTGTGACAACAAGCTGAAGCTGTTAATGGCTGCACATAAAAATGAAGCTTGTCACATAAATAAGCATGCGTGTGTGTACGTGTGTGTGTGAGTGTGGGCGACTAAGCGCCGCAATGATTGTTTTAATGGCTACTTGAACGGAAATTAACTGACAAGAGCAGATAAATAAATACCAAAGACAGAGACAGACAGACTGTGAGAATGAGAGGGCGAGAGAGAGGGAGAGAGTGCGGGTGGCACTTTAAGAGTTGGGTTTTGTTTTAGCGATGACAGCTCGCCATTTTGGGCACTCAAGGACACAAAGACAAGCACACGTGCGCCTTAAAGCTGCACCCAATTATATAGATAGCCGAGCAGTCAGGCGTGAGGCACACACATATTTTGCACGTTCTACGTACTTATACAAATATTTGCTTATTGAAATGTCAAATAAGCTAATTTTCCACATAATTCTAATCCTAACACACACACACACACGCACTCAGTTGTCGCTTTGCACATAAACGACAAACAATTTCATGTGTAGATAAACATAACAAAAACAACAACGATAACGACAAATTTTGCACATGCAAATTGCCAAATTGCTTTTTGGCCTGTGAGTCCGGAGAATATGCAAAAACAAAAAACATAAATTTCAAATATGTGCGCACTTGTATTAGCATAAATTTTATTCGTATAAACAACAGAAGTCTTAATGCCAGAATCTTAAAACCAAAATTGCTTTAAAACACAGCAGCAAATGTCATTTAAAGTGCCTCAATTTAAGAATAGGTTGTATTTCTTTAAATTTTCAAATAGAGTATAAATTGGACTGTTCTATAATTGGATTTTAGCCTGTGTGCAAAGCAGTTAGAAAGAATGTAAATGCAATTGAAAAATGCTTAAAAGGAAATTTAAAAAAAAAGTATATATAAAGCTTATTAAAAGTTAATTT